AACAGAGGCCAATCTCCTTAATGAACATAGATGCAAAAATTCTTAGTAAGATATTGGCAAATAGAATACAATGAATCATCAGAAAGATCAAATATCCTGACCACGTATGTTCCATCCCAGGGATGCAACAATGGTTCAACAAATGCAAATCAATAAATATAATATACCACAAAAACAGAACCAAGGTCAAAAATCACAAAATTGTATCAATAGATAAGAAAAAAGCTTTCAACAAAATCCAACACCCATTCATGATAAAAATCTTATCATGGAAAATAGGTAGACAAGGACCTTACCCCAATCTGATCAAGTCCATTTACAAATCATATTAAATAGGGGAAAGCAAAAAGTGTTCCCTAAATCAATTAAGAACAGGATAAGGATGTACAGTATCACCACTCCTATTCAGTATAATACTTGAAAACTAAGAGTAATCAGACAAGAAAAGGAGATACTAGAGGCATATACAGGAAATTAAATCTAATTATCATTATTTGAATATATTATTCTTTGCAAATAATACAAAAAATTCTACCAAAAAACTTCTAGAATTAGTAACAAAAGTAGCAATGTAGCAGGATATGAAATCAACACATGAAAATCAGTATTGTTTCTGTATACCAATAATAGACTTAACAAGAAAGAATTTAGGAAAATAATACTATTCTGGATAGTACCAAGAAAAATTAAATAGTGTACTTAGGAATTAATCTAACCTAATTAACAAAAGAAGTCCTCTACAATGAAAGCTATAAAACTTTCTAAAAGGAGCTCAAATAGATGATCAGAAAATGTAAAGATGACCTGTATCATGGATAGGTAGATGAAACATTGTCAAAATGGTCATACCTCCAAAACTATTATCAAGATTTAATGCAATCTGAATCAAAATATCATAACATTCCTCAGAGAACTAGAGTCAACAATCCTAAAATTCATATGGAACCAGAAGAGACCCAAAATAGCAAAAGCAATCCTATTACAGCAACACAGGAGGCATCACAATACCTGACTTCAAGTTATACCACAAAGCCAAAGTGATAAAAATAAAATGGCACTGGCTCAAAACACATATGTACATCAACAGAACAGAAAAGAAGATGCAGACACAACCCCAGAAATATTCATCCGATCAAAGAACCAAAAACATACGCCAGAGGAAAGATGACATCTCTAGCAAATGGTGCTGCAAAAACTGGCTACTCACGTGTGAAAGTTGAAGATAGACTCCATTATTTCTCACCCTGTACTAAAATAAAACTGGATCAAAGATCTAAATATTAAAACAAAAACAGAACCTGCAGGAGGGTAAAGTAGATAAAATTCTGGAAGTCACAGGCATAGAAAAGGACTTTCTGAACAGAACTCCAATTGCACAAAAAAATAACAGTAAGAAACAAGAAATGGGATTATATCAAATTAAAAGGCTTCTGAACAGCAAGAGCAACAACCAACAGAGTGAAGAGACAATCTACAGTGTAGGCTGCTGGATATACATGGATAGAGGACTAATAACTAGAATGTACAAAGAACTCAAATTAGAATCCCCAAAATAAAAGTCCCCATCAAAAAACTGGAAACTAAAATGAGTAAGACACGTCTCTGAAGAAGTTCAAATAGGCAATGATACATGACAAAAAGTTCAACATGGCTGGCCATTAGAGAAATGCAAATTAAAACAACACCAAGATTTCATCTGCACCCGAGAGGGACAATCATCAAGAAGTCAAATAACAGCAAGTGTTGGTGAGTCTGCAGGGAAAAAACAAACCTCTCTATTGCTATTGGTGTGAGAGTGTAAACTAGTACAATCATTATAAAATCAGTATTGAGATTCCTTAAAAACTAAAAATAAAAATCCTGTCCAGACCAGCTATTCCCCTTCTAGGTATCTTCCCAAAAGAGTTATCATATTAGAGCAGTACATGCATGCCAATGTTTATAATACCACAATTAATAGCTAAATCTTGGAAGCAGCTTTTATGTCCATCAACTGACAAATGGATAAAGAGAACTACACATAATAGAATGTAACTCAGCTACAAGGATAAATTTGAGTCATTTGTAACAAAATGGATGCAACAGGAAAATATAGTGGCAAGTGAAATAAATCAGACCCACAATCTTAACTACTGCATGATTTCCATCATGTGATAAATCCCAGGTGTAATGAGCAAAACAAAAGACATGAAAGGAAACGGGGTTATATCTTTCATAAATGGGAAAGGGAATCAAAAGATGGAGAGTGGGGAAGGGTGAGGGAAAGGAGACCTAAAAAGAATTAATTATACCACAGGGATTAGAATCACTACCCGTTGCAAACATGAACTGAAAAAAAAAAGAAACAAAAATGTAGGAACAGGATCCAGAGGAGGAAAATAGAAGGGGAGGGGAGAGGAGAGAAGGGGAAGGAAGGAGAACAAGAATCAAGACATGTTAAGTACATATATATATATATGCACTCCTTAAGATGAATTTAAACAATATATCCTGCAAACATGTACTAATAAGAAATGGAAAAAAATAAAATGCACACTTAGGAATTAATCTACAGTTACGCTTTCACAAGTACACACAGATGCCTATGTAAAAATGACAAATAAAAAGTGTGTTTTATTGACTTGAAACAACAAACAAAAATTTCCATTAATTATTAAACAAAGTTTAATACATCTATAGGATGGAATATTACATATTCACTAAAAAGGACTAGGTAGGTCTCCATGTACTAACATAAAAAGCTATCCAGGAAATATTAAGCAAAAAAATGATTTAGCAGAACAAAGATCATGTTTGTTTCAAACATATAAATAAGGAAAATGCAAGGGTTTACAGAAAGTATTTTATGTCCATGGTGTAGAATTAGAGGGATGTATCTCAACCTTAGCACTGCTAAATGACAGATAATTCTTTGTTATGGAAGTATGTGAAGCACCTGTAGGGTAGCAGCATTCCTGTCCTCCTCTACTAACTAGATGCCTGTGGCAAACTTCTACTCAAGACAACTGCCAAACGTCCCCTGAGGGACAAATTCATCTCCAACTGAGACCATCCAACTGTAGAATAAAGAAGTGAGATGAATGAAAACACTGTCACCTTATATCTCTTTTTATTTAACCATTTTTAGTATGACAATGTAGTATACAGACACAATGTAAATTTAAAAGAGACTGCCTGAAATTCTTAACTAAAAAATTAAAGTATTGGTAGGATATGAATCTTTGTTTAATACAACTAAGAAGGCACATAATTGTTAAGGATTAAAAGGGACTTAATCCATCTTCAATGAGAAAGGTAAAAAGGGTTAAAAAACAAAGAAACAGATTCTATCAGTACATTTCCATAACTTCTCAAGGTGTCCTGACTTTTCCTTCCTCTGTTATTCCTGGGCACTTTAATCATTTAGAGGCTCTAGTTTCTCAGCTTCAGAAACGTTTTGGTAAGTTCCCTCTGCTTTCTTGTTTTGTACAGTAGACAAATATATTTTGAGAAACCAATATTGGGGGGAAATGTAAAAACTTCTAATTTCTCAAAAGCAAAGGAGGGGCCAGGAATTTAGTGTAGCACCATAAGCGCCTGCCTGGCAAGCTTGAGGTTGTGAGTTTGATCCCCGGTACCAAAAAAAAAAAGAAGAAGAAGAAGAAAGAAAGAAAGAAAGAAAGAAAGAAAGAAAGAAAGAAAGAAAGAAAGAAAGAAAGAAAGAAAGAAAGAAAGAAAGAAAAATAAAAAGGAAAATACTGCTTACTATTTATGAAAAAATAAATAAATAGTATAAAGTTAGCATTAGGGTAAAGTATAAAATACACTAATAAATCCTTCTTGACTAAATATATAGTTTATACAGAAGATCCAGATTCAGTTTTTTATGAAACTGTCTAGTAATTTACTTATCCATCTTATATATCTACACATGCATAAATCTAAAGGGCTTATTTCTTGCCTTAATATTTTTATAATGGAGAAGGGAAAATGACTGATCAAAACCTCTTGCTAAGCCTTTGTAACTTAAGCTGATATGAGAACATAAATTTAAAAATTATATTAAACCCTATGAGTAGTAACACTGTAGATAACTCTGGATAAAGTAAGTTACTAATAAATAAATTTGATAATGAATAAATTTCAAAAAATTGAAAATGCTGCCAAGCTCTGTATCTCAGAGAAACAAGCACTACTTTTGTAATACTATGTTAGAAAAAAGAAACCAGTCTCTTCATTTACTTATGGCATGATTTCAAGTAAAATCATATTGCTACATACAACTTTCATGCAACTTTTTAGCAACAGTGACTAACAACCCTGAGTAGTAACGTTTAATTTAATAAGAATACATACTTCAACAGTAAGGCTATCATGTGCAAAAGCCTGAAAAAGGCAATAAATATCAAAACTGTTATTCTTATCATCACTGTTGAGTCCAAGCATATCTGTATATTTAATGTAGCTATGTAATTTAAGTAGATCTGAAAACAGTAAGTTATGTATAGGTGACTGGTATCAGAATATCCTAAGCTAATTTTGGAATAAACTGATTTAGCAAAAAGTATTTAATATAATTGATGCTACAAATTCACAGGAAAAATGTAAAAAATCTTAAAAATGGTACAGTGTGGCCCAAAAGCACCTTATGGTCACAAAACTGCATGTTTCAGTAAATTTCACCTCAGAATTGGGCTCACAGTTTTGCATAAAAAATTCAAGTCTTGATATAATCTTTCTTAAGGAGGTTCTTAGATTGTACCAGATATGAAGCTCTGGAATTGAATGCATTAGGACAGGTCAGAGTTTAGTTTTGCTGCTTGCATCTGCACATAAGCTTTCTTCTGAATACTACTCGAAAGAACTGTTTCAAAACTAATGTTTTGTGCCCACTAAGCAAGAAAACGAACTCTTCTTTTTATATTTTGGTTTTATCAGTATATCAAAGGATAATTTTAACATAAAGTCAACAGATTGATATGAAAGAAATAAATCAGTTAGCACACTGCTGGAAGACATACCTGATTCTGGCCAGGACAGCTTGTAGAAAGTTCAACACTGCCCTAAGTTCAGATTCTCGACAGGCTCGAAGAAGCATACTAAATCCATCATTAAGCAGTTTCTCATGGGAAGGATATAAGCAGTAGCTGGTCTCAAACACTTCTTGAACACCATCAATGTAGATGGAGAGAAGTGTCCAAAGAGAATGTCTTTGTATCATTTCTTCTTTCTTAGATACCAAGAATTCCTTTGCTTTCTCTTGGAACTCAAATGAAAATTTCTCAGCCAAAACCCCAATGTCTAGATTTTTCTGGGCATACATCAAGAGGAATGCCATCTGACCTTTCCAAATGAGGGGTCTCTGAGACGATATAAAAGCAGGCTTGAGGAAATTCAGAAGGTTTAAAACATGACTTGCCACATCTTCCACTTCTGCAACAGCTGCTAACAGGAGAAAAAGACTGAAAAAGTTCTGCAGTCCGATTGCAGTTAGTTCTTCCATTCTTTTTTGATGGAATTTAGAATATATCCTATAAAACAACAAGCAAACAAAAAAACACTTCAATAAAATTGTCATTCACAAAATTCATCCTTTAAAAGAATCCTTTATTACCTTTGACTCATTATTATACACTTTTAGCTAATTTTTTAATTTTGAGGTTCACATGTCACTTTTTCTGCTTAGAGAATAAACTCGTAAAATACGCTACTTTCAAACTTCCCAGATATGCAGCAAGTCATTACAAGAGAACCAAAGGAGCCAGCAGGTTTCTTTGAAGGACAACAGAAATGTTTTTATCATAAAAAACATGGCAATTTCTTGTAGTTGGAATGTTGACTACTTTTCTTTTATTGTTAGCAAGTAAGAATGAATATGTTATAGTTGCAGCATTATAGTTTCAGGGATCTGAAATGTTCCCCAAAAGTTCCCATGACTTGGTCAAAAGCATGGCACTTTTAGAAAGTAGGCAGTAAAACCTTTAAGAGGTGAAGGCCTGCTGAGTACCTTTAACAAAGACTGACGACTCAGCACCCTCCACATGTTTTTTCTCTCTGGCTATGGTATGAGTGGTTTGGCTCTGCCATGATGTACTGCCTTATCTGAAGCAATGGGACCAACAAAGCTTGGACTGAAACCTATAAAACTGTGAGTCAAACCTTTCTTCTTTATCTGTTGATTACCTCAGGTATTTATCATAGTAACAGAAAACTAACAAATTTTGTAATCATTTAGGTTCAACTTCATGTGCTTTTATAGAAATTATGAGTATTATTAATAATTTTCCTTAAGCCTCACCTCCCTCCATCCCCCTCAAACACCTGCATTTGCTTTGCTTATACCCTAAGGCAATTAAAATCATTAAAGGAATCATTTTTCCAAACCCGCAAAGAAAAACTGTTAATGTTCAAATGTTCAAAAATAGCCATTAAAACATTAGTTACTACTTAAAATACCTTAATAGCTGTAATTTCCTTTCATCAATTAAGGGCTTAGAATTGGAAACAATTCACCTTAGATGCCCACTTTTTATTAAGTTTCTAAAAATTTATGACTGGGGCCAGGGATTTAGCTCTGTGGCACAAGCACCTACCTGGCAAGCTCAAGGTCATGAGTTTGATCCCCAGTACCAAATAAAATAAAATTTAAAAAAATTTATAACTAGATTATTCAGGGCAATAAATCCTGAATGAATATTTCTCCAAATAAGCATCTATTTCATTATCTTTGCATTGACTATCATCCCTATTATAGTGCTTGAAATAAAACATTTATCTAATAAGTAGACTTGCTACTAAATGAACTTCAATAATTTATTTTCATAAAATTACCAAATATTAAAAACCAGACATGAAAAGAGAACAATGATGACAAGACCCTGGGGACTGGGATGTAGCCAAGTGGTGAGGGAGGATGCTCAGCTTCCCAATAAAACTGATGTTTGGAATCCCTAATTATTAAAGGTCTAAAAAAGAAGCTACCTTTTTACAAAAAAGTATATTCCACCACCATCACCTTACTCACTATGGGAATAAAATAGGAGCGTGGTTCATAAGAAGTCTCTGCTTAGAATAAGAAGCATCATGCTGAGAGGCCCCAACAAATAAGATGAACAAGTGATAGAAATGGTGTGCTACGTAAGGAGGAATAACAGGCAAGGAAGCAAACAGGAGAAAAATTAAAGACTTATGTATTTTACCACACCAGAAATGGAAAGAGAGCACATTTCCAGATGAAAACATCAGGGTTATCTGGTCTTAACTACATTTCGGTCAGCTCTCACTCAAGATAGCCAGGGCTTACGAATTGCTAAGTCTCAAATAACACACACACAAAAAAAATATTAGTTGCCAATTAAAATATGGAGATTTTTTATTTCCATCAGTTTTAATAAGATGTAATGCAATCACTACAAGTAAGTTTGGCAAAAGACAAAAATAAATAAAAAACCTTAATCCTTTTTTAATAGTCCTATATTTAATATATAAAAATACAATCTAAGTGTGGTACTGCACAACCATAATCCCAGCACTCCTGAAGGCTAAGGCAAAAGGACAGCTACTTTAAGCCCAAACTGAGCAACTTAGCCATTTAATGAGACCCTGTTTCAAAACCAAAATTTAAAAAGGGATGGGGATACAGTTCAGTGTTCAGCACTGCAAAAAGAAAATAAATATAATCTTCAATAGTGATAAGATGACTAAGAAACTGAAACCCTCTATACACTCTATGTCTTACTATCCTGCATGAAGAAATACATTTTAAATGTATAAAGACTTTGTAACTAAAAGTAAACTTAGTGTCCTATAAATAGTTCAGCTTTCCCAAACATCAGTGACCATTCATGATAACATTCACTCATACCCACCTTCCTTTGACTTGTTTCCAAGGATGAGAACCATTGTTCTTCATGGCTTTCTTAACAGTCATTGCCAGAATGCAAAGAAAAATAGTGTAACTACTATAGGATTTAGATAGGTCATGATCTTGTTTATCACAACAGCAAGTCTTCACCATTTCAAGCATAGACAAAGGAGACTTGATATTAATAAGATCTTTCAAAGGAAGCCAAGAAACAGTGAAGGAACTATTCTACAAGTAAAAAAAGTAGACAATCAGTATTAGTTTCTTAGTAAATAAAATGGAAAGCTGCAAATCTCAGTTAACTTATTAAAAGAGTAAATAATCTTAACGACAAAAATTGTATTACCACATTATCACTGTAATATATCACCCAAAATAGTTCCATAAAAACACATTACAAATAAAGGTAAGTTCGAAATTTGGGCTACTCCCAAAATGTATTTTTAACAGCTGGTTTGTCCAAATTAGGACACAAACAAGACCCACACAGCATTTGGATGATATATTCCTTAAGGCTCTTTTGATTAGTTTCCCAGTGTTTTATAAAACCATTCTTTATTTATATCAGATCATTTGTTGCATAACATTTCCCACTCAAGGCCCATCATGCAGAACAATTAACATGACAGCAAGAGACTGTGCTTTTCAATAGCTCCGTGCATTTGTCCATACTGTTCCTTTAGCCTACATGCTTTCTGTTCTGAAATTGGAAAATATCCCTGATCAAGGCCACATTAAAACATTATGACCCATATTAAGTTTTCTACAACCTACACACTGGGTTAGATAGGTCTCCCCAGCACTGCATGGTATCTTGGCTTTGCCCCCACAATACGTATATACCTGCCTCCTGAACTAAATCTACTCAGGCGTCAAGATGGTGCCATATGCTGATACCTGTGCCCACACACGGTGTCCTAAGGAATCAATACTAATTAGAAAACACTTATAAATGAGGGTTAAAAAGAACTTCCTATTACAATTTTGGCTACTTTGTTTATATTTTTTCTCAAGAGAAAAAAGGATACCAGTGCAGTTCACCCCAGTCTACCTTCAACCAAAACTAACTTGCCAAGAAAAATTCACGGCTACTAGTAATTAAATCATAAAGAAATTCTGCACATCAAGCACAAATTCTTCAAATTTCTGGAGTAAATTTATACTCTATTTACTCACCAGGTTTTTACTGTAATAGTCCCACAGAATGTTGACAATTGTAATGTTTGGTTCCCAAAACTCACAAACTGTCAAACAACAGTGAAGATATATTCGTAATTGTTCTTCTAGTACACCTTCCTAAAAAATAAACTGAAGTTATGAAGGAATAAACAGGCTCTGTCTACATGAATATTATCATTTTACACTGTACAACTTATAGTACTATTTGCTGAAATAGCAAAGGGTAGAGAAGAACATAGAGACCACTAACATATTTTGAGAATAAAAAATATATAACCCAATGACTTTTAATTCTATTACTTAATAGGTGTAAATGTTTCATAGTTAGATGGTGTTCAAAACTCAAAGAATAGAAAAGAAATCCAAATCTAAGTGGCCAAATGATCTAATAATTAGGACATACACAAATTGAGCAGGCAGAACATGGGGAGAATACACAGGGCATCCAAGTATAGCTGTGAAGTGGACAATGTGACATATGGGTCTACAGTTCAGGGAAAAAAGTGAGAGTTGTTAATGCAAGTCTTGATATTAACAGAATATTATTAATTATTTCTAAAACTAAAAGAGTAGATATGACTATTCACGAATATTCATAAATCAAAAATGGGAAAAGGATCCATTGTAATATTCTCACATTTACATAGTGCGCAGATGCAGAACAGTCTATAAACAAAAGTAAATAGCCAATTGAGGAAGAAAACCAGATATCCTGGAAGCAAAGAGAAATATTTCTGAAAGAAACAATGGTAAATAGGGTTGAATACTGCTAAGAAGTTAAAAAATTAGAAATAAAAACTTAAGAGATTTAACCACATAAAAATTATTAACCATAGCAAGAACAATTTGGGGCATAATGAAGATAAGCACGAATATGTACGGCTAAGGAGTATTAGGAAACAAGGGAATAGAGATATTTAAATAAAGATGTTCAAGAATTTTGTTTTGCCTCTAAGAGGTAAAATTACAAAATAAAGAAATTAGTTCTTGATAGAAACAGTAACCCAGTATAAATGAAAAGCAGCCTACGAAGTTGAGTAAAAGACGACAAGTTCAGCAATTTAAATATGAAGACAAAAGAGTTCTCATCTCACTGTTTTGTCTTCTCAATAATTAGGAGGCTAAATGTTGAACTGAGCGTACTGAGGGAGATCATGAATTGTATGCTAAAGAGAATTTTTAAAATAAGTCATTCTGGAGAGAAAAAAGCAAACATTCTTAAGTTGACTGCTGCTTGAGGTTACCATCAAAAATTTAAAGCCAGACAAGCAGTAATATTTCACTGTGGATAAGAGCGGGAGGTAGGACAGAAACAAGGCTTTTCAGGTTTAAAACAGATTAAGGGTTGGGGGATGAAGATATTTGTGATGTACTGACGGACTGTGTAACCTACGCTGTGTAAGGAGTGAAGTTAGGATGTGGAAGATGGCAGAAGAATGAAAAAGTCAGTGAAAAGTCACTCTGACGGGCAGATGAAGAAAAGAAAAAAAATGAAAAACTCCATGGGAAATAGGTGAGGCAAGTAAAAGAAAATCTGATTAGAAGTAAAACTAGTAAGCAACAGAGAGGGCAGGTAGATTATATAGAGTAACACTGCAGTTACTAACGAAGTTGAATACAGGCTTAGAAAAAGACAGTGACCAAGATATTAAACCTTTCGATGAATGCGTTACCCAACCTTGGGTAAAGGACAGCAATGAGCAGATTTTTCTTGGATAAGGCCTTCAATTTCTTAAGCATTCATCCTTTAAAATGTATTTCAAACTCCAAGTCCTCTACAGGAAACTTTCTAGCTCCCACACCACACCACCTTCTTTCTGGTCCTACAGTGTGTACACCACAAATACCTACATTGTAACACTCACCCGGTTTAACTTAACATTTGCCTGCTTTCAAGCATCTATGAATTCTGAGGGCTGAGACAATGTCCCCAGAGCATAGTGCTATGCCTGGTTCACCAAAGTGTCCCCAATAAAGATTTTATAAACAAAACAGACTAAGTTCTGGTGCTTTTTTTCACCAAGTATTGGTATGATTCAGGGAGAGATTTTAGATTCTGTAATAGTCAATTGTACTCATTTAGTCAAAGATGACAAAGTTCTATCACAAATGTGATTTTATATATATTTAGATACAGAAATACTTATATATTTATATTTATTTAGATATAAATATAAATCTGTGTCTGGGCTTATTAAGTTCCATGGGGCACTACTGAATTCAGTGATGGCAAACTAATTTTAATTATACAAGGTAAAAATTACAAAGAAAAGAATAACCCTTCAATTTGAGGGGCTGTATTTGAGATCTGCAACTAATTTATTATATAAAATATACAAATGTGCAAGCTTTACATCATATTAAGCCATAAAAAGGAACCAAAGCAGGAGGATCAGGAGTTTGAGCCAGTCTGGGCAACTTAGTGACTCAGCAAGACTATCTCAAAAAAAAAAAAAAGGTGTTTTTCTTTAAAGGACTGAGGATGCAGTTTAGTTAAAAAGCTCTGGGATTATTCCTACCACCACAATGAGTCAGTGAGTCAATCAAAAAAAATGAAAGTAACTGAAGACTGGAGAAAGTGAGTAACAACTATTTTTGGTACAATATGTTGTTTTGTATCAAGTGTACATTATACCATCCTAATATTTATCTTTGTTTTATGATAATGAAGGTTGGGGTACAGAATCCATATATATATATATCATCCATGTCCACTTGGTCATAAGCAAGGACTTATAAAGTCTCCAAAAGTCTGTCATAAAGGGGTGAAAAAGAAATAAACATTTAGTGCATACCACAAGTATCCAGATCAAGATTTGAATTTGTAGGTTTAAAAAAAGCATTTTAGTTCGTTTTTTCTTTTTGTTTTGAAACAGAAATAAATTTTCCTTATTTCATAATTATTACAGATGAAAATGAAAAGAAATGGCTTTAAAATATTATTTTCCACAGTTCTGGTAGGTTTCCTTTAGCCTATAGTCAGTCTATCACAGATATCTGTTAAATACTTTACATTTTTATGTTCTTTCATAGTCAATTATTGCTTTGTTTAGAACCATTTCTATCATTTTTTTAGGATTCTCTTTACAGTTAGTAGGGCATGGTTGCAAATATCTGTAATTTCAGAACTTTGCAAATTTGAGCCCACCCTTGGCAATTTAGAGACCCTGTCTCAAAAGAAAAATAAAAGAATACAAATATAGTTCAGTACGGAAAACTTGAGTTCAATCCCCAGGATTGAAAAACAAAACAAAAATTCAAGAGAACACACACATACACTTTCTTTAACAGATTTGTGTGTTTGTGCACAATACATCCATTAAAGAGAAAAATAACTAACTCATCTTTCAAGTCCAGATAGCTAAAACAAGAATACATAATAGGGATATAGGAGGGAACAGACATATTAGTGCAAATTCCTAAGAAAATAACACAGAGCTAAAATATAGTGGGGAAGAATATCAGAGAACACTGGGTTACACTAATTTACATTCTCCCAGTACATAGTTTTAAAGAGGGAAACAACACCATTGTTATGGTTTATATGTAGATGACCTCCCAAGGCCACATGTGGTCAGAGGTGGAGTTTTGGGGCAGTGACTGGATGGATTATGTAGGTACGATGCACTGGTGTTCACAACTGACTTGCTTTTAGGAGGTGGTCACTGAGAGTGTGATCTGAAAGGGTTCATCTCTTCTCCATTCCCCTCTTGACTCTGCATCCTGCTGTCATGCCATGAGCTGCTTCTCCTCTGCCACGCTGCCCTGCCTTAGAGCCACTTGACAATGGACTGAAACTGAGCTAAAATACACATTTCCTCCTTGTAGTGCCTCCTGGGGTACTATGTCTCAGCAATAAAAAGGTAACAAAGATAAACATCTTTACATTTAAAAAAAGATGTTTCTCACGAATACAACCAAAAAAGATCTAGAAACCAAAATGTATGATTAGTCAAATATGAAGTGATCTCCCTTGTATGCCAATACCTAGATTGTCTGGGAGTCATAAACAACACTATAGTCCTGTAACCAAAGCACTTGGGTGCTAAGCCAAATATACGCAACAATCTTTCATCCCTAATAAACTGAAGAGGCAGGAACCTGGAAAAAGACTCTAAGCTGGCTACACCTAGAAGACATCTCTGAGAAGCAGTCATTTCCTAAACAGGTCTCAAAATGAGTAAAAAGGCTGTCTACAGTAAGTAATGCACAAGGGTCAACCCTGAAAACAAATACACACACATACACAAAATAGAAAATGAGGAAACATGGAAGTAAGATGTAACCCATAATTCTCAACTTACCCAAGAGCAAATCAAAAGTGACTCAGCTAAATTTTATCAAATTGGTAGCAGCAAAAGTAATGAAACATACAAGTGTCTTGTTAAAATCAAACCAGAGCAAAGAAATCACTATAATGAAGAAAATGATTAGTGACTCTAGAGTAGACCCAGATTTTAAAAAATAGAGAAGCTTAAGAAAGGCATAGAAACCATGAACACACAACACAGAAAACAACTAGACTCTATAAATCAAACTCACAGAAAGCCAGGTGACAAAAAATTCTGAAAATGTATGCAGCACTCAAACAATGTGAAATTAGAATATGAGATCTAGATTCAGGATTGTTGTGGTGATAAACAACTGAATGACCTCTTAAAAATAGCAGAAAAAAAGCAATCCAACAGCTGATAATGCAAACAAGACTAAAACAAGATTAATTAGAATTAATGAAGAACAGAAGATAGGACAAAGGGCATAAAAAACTAGTTTACAGAAGTAAAAGCAGAAAAATTTCTAAGCAAGGAAAAAGAAACTGAATAGATACATGAGGCATATAACTCTAAATAGTTTTGATTAGGAAAAAACTACATCAAACCATATGAAAGTCAACATTCCAGAAATTCAACACAAGAACAGAATACTAAAAACTATTAGAGAAAAGGAACAAATCATTTATAAAGGAAAGCCCACTAGAATCACAGCAGACTTCTTACCACAAACCCTTAAATCAAAGGGAGTTTGAAGTATTTCAAGCCCCCAAAGAAAACAATTCACAACCCAGACTGATGTACCCCACAAAATCTTTCAAAATTGAAGAACTGATACTTCCACGA